GCAAAATGATTAAAGCATTCATCTGCTAACCAAAAGGTCTGCAGTTTGAATGAACCAGCCACTCCATGGGAGAAAGATGAAGCAGTCTGCTTCTGTAAAGACTTACAGCCTTGGAAACCCAATGCAGCAATCCCACTCTGTTCTATAGGGCCACTGAGTTGAAATTGACTTGATGGCATTGAGCTGTTTTTTTTTTTTTTCCCCCCTTAATTCTTCACTAAAGCAAACAGCCAGGTCATTCTCCTGCACAGCCTTTGAGTGGCTTTGAACTGCCAGTCTTTTGGTTTGCAGCTGAGTGTTTTAACAGTTGTGCCAGCAGGGCTCCTTGTAGGCCTGGAACAGGAATGTACTGAAACCCCAGTCCCTCAGCCTGGTGACCTCTTCTCATGCCGCTCTTCCCACTTCCACCTCTGACTTGAAGATCTAAGGATACTGTAATCAACTGTTGGAAGCCTTACATTGGTTGTTGTTTCTTTGCTTGTATTTGCCTCTGAGGGAATGAAGAGTAAAGGTCATCTGTGAGGAGGAGGAAAGGTTATGGTGGAAAGAGTGCTAGTGGAATCTGGTCAAGGGTGGTAGTTTGAGGCAGATAATTAATTTAACTTTTATTTATTACACCACTTTGAACCATGATAATTTAGTCAAGATCCCCCCCCCTCACCTCGTCAAAGATGAAATATGTGGGAGAATGTAAAGCCACAGTGATACATCATAAGGTGTTATTTATTTAAATCTATTTCACAGAAGTGAATGTTGAGTGGTAGAGGGACATTTCAGTGGAACATATCTGAGATTGGATACGTTAGGGATATGCAACAGTCTGGAGTGTAGAGTGAGTATTTACGGGACAAATGTCAGAGAAGCAAATACCTCCTAGTAGGCGAAAGTGTTGGCAAGAAGTGACTGGTTAAGAAAGGAAACAAAGTAAGAAGGGGACTGGTGACTGCTACAAAAGTGGTATGGAAAATTGTGACCAAATGGGCACTCCTCTGTGCTCTGGTTCCAGTACCTGTTTGCCTGTGATTTGATTCTGACTCACGGAGACCCCATGTGTGTCAGAGTAGAACTGAGCTCCATAGGGTTTTTAATTATAATCTGACCAAGATGGAACCAGGCTAAATTTTGCTGCATAATTCAACAGAAACTCTGGAAATCCAATGATACAAGTCCCTGTAAGATTTATGTAGGGTGATATCCACTTTTTAAGGGAATAAACTCCTTAGATGTATTTTCAAGCCATTTATGGTATGCTAGAATACCACTAAAAATATATGAATGCTAAATTACTATTAAATACACAATACATACTCAGAATAATTTTGTTACTAATGTATGCATTATGTTTCACTAAATCTAGCATGCTAGCTATAGGTAGAGAATTTTTTGTTTTGTTTTGGCTGCGGTTGGCTATCCTTTCTTTTTTCCCTACCAAGATACTGCCTATTTTAGATTTTTGTAAAGATAAGGAAAGAAGGGAGAGAGGGAGAGAGGGAGGGAAGAAGGAATGAAGGAAGGAAGGAGGGGAGGGAGGGAGGAAGAGAGGAAGAAAAAAAAATAAATGCAATGCCTGATAGAGTATAGTGTACATGTAGATGCATAATTAAATCTTTAGAATATGATAAAGAAGATAAAGGAGGATAGAAATCTCTACAACTGTCACTTCCAATTGCTTAGCCAGTAAGAGGAGACTTCATCCTCAAAGAAAGAAATCACAGTGAGAGATGATATAAGGCAGTGGAACAGAGCCATTTAAATCAGAAAAATCTAGGTAAGAATCTCTCTGCTACATAATACCTGTAGCTTTTTGGCAAGTTCATTGGACTCTCAGAGTACTCCCATGGAAAATGGGGAGAAAATTGTTATGTAGCAAGATTGTTGTAGGATTCAGTGAAATGGAATACATAAGGCACAAAACTCAGTGCCTGCCCCATATAAGCTGCTCAATCAAAGTGAGTTGCATTCACTTTTCAGTAAACCAGTATGGGATTGTGGCATTATTTCAAAACTAAAGTTATTTAACGTTCCTAAATGAAGGCACCCTTGTGGCACAATAATGAAGTGATATACTGCCAGCCGAAAGGTTAGTGATTCAAACCCACCTAACTGTGCAACAGGAGAAAGACCTGGAGATCTTCTTCCATAAATATCACAGGCTGGAAAACCCTATGGGGTAGGTATAACTCTGTCACCAGGGGTTGCTATGAGTCGCAACTGACTTGATGGCACTTGACAACAAATGGAGGTAGAGGTCGAAGAAGATGTCAACATATTCAAAACAATAATCTTTTGTGTCTCAGGAGCAGAACTTGGGGAACCTTGACAGAGTACCACAACCAAAAATTTGCAAGATGGCTTCTGGTTTAGTGCTAGCGGATTCTTGTTTCTTCAGGCCCCAGGAAACCTGGTAGATAGATCATAAGCCCCATAAGATTTCAACCTGACCTGTGAACGGTGGGTTTCAACTTAGCTACACATTAGAATCACCTGGGGCACTCGGAATGCCAGAGTCCCACTTCCCAAGATACTGATTTAAGTAGTGTGGAGTGGGGTCCCTAGAATCAACGTTTTTCTTTGTTTTGGTCTTAACTCCCTAGTTGATTATTATGTGTAGCTGCCTTAGGGTAAACGTAAATTCCTGCTGTTGCTTGCCTTGAGTGAGTTCCAACTCATACACACCCGAGGTGACAGGGTAAGTCTCCCTCTTAAAATTTTCTAGGCTGTTATCTTCACAGGACAGATTGTCAAGTCTCTCTCCTGGAGAGCCCCTGGGTAGGTTATAACCACCAAACTTTTGGTTAGTGGCTCAGTATTTTTATGCCACCAGGGTTCCTTATAAAGTTTTGGTTCATATCACTTATGCCTTAGTCTCTGCTTGAATCATTTCTTTTAGAAAGACCAGCTCAAGGCCAATCCCTATGAGGCAGAGGTTAAAGACATCCCAAATGCCCAAATTTTCCAAGATTCCATGCCACTCCATTATCTCTGACATCAACTCTTCCTCTCCTTAACAATCTGCCTTCTGTGTTAGGCTTCTGTAGGTCACTGGAACATTTCACAGAACTCACAAACTTCCAATGAAACTGACGTGGTGGTGGTAGAAGTTGGCAGGCTGGCAAGTCCCAGGTCTCTGGTTAGATCTGGAGGAGTCTCCCAACTCACATGGTTACAGGGGTTGGTGGTGAACCCAAATTGGCAGGTCAGATGATGGCTGCTATCTCAAGTACAGGGGTGAGATGAGGACAGACCAAATGCATAACCAGAGCAAGAGAGTGAACTTTCCCAGAACATTCCTACATAAACCCTCAAGGAAGCTAAGGGCGGTGACAACTCACACCCTCCAGCAAGGTGGGACTCAAGATGCATCCCACCCTAAACAGGCATAGAGAGTAGGATTTACAGTACATCACAAAATGGAGGATGATGGCTAGAAGGGCCATATAAAGCAATTCATTGCACTGCAGTTTCTTCTGTTGTTGGTGTTGTTATGCGCCGTCGAGCCGGACCTGACTCATAGTGACCCCTCCTTGGGTTTCCAAGGCAGTATCACTATGGAAGTAGATTGCCCTATCTTCCTTCCGAGGAGTGGCTGGTGGCAGTCTCTTCTATGATCAAAAAAATGGTCAAATATGGCTTCTGTATATTCTTGTCATGGATTACATCTCAATATAAAGAAAACAAAAATCCTCACAACTGGACCAATGAGCAGCATCACAATAAATGGAGAGAAGATTGAGGTTGTC